TGTGCACATATGTAAAAAAATAGATTATTTTAGGGGAGATGTAGTTCTAGGATTATTGCTTATGTCATTTCTTAAGCAGTTACGCTCTTAACGCTTAAAAGAAGGCTAGCATTGTTTGCACAAAACGTTGGTGATCCCCCCCAAAAATAGTAATGAAATTACTTCTGTCCAGTAAACTTTGTATGTCATGTCAATTTATAATAAAAGCTGAAAAAATCCCTTTGTTTTCTATTTATAAAGATGCCTTTTCTATATGTACCTTTGATAGATTTTGAAGATGCAATGTAAGCTGGTTAAAAAGAATCCGAACGGTACAGTAGATGTAAAACCAAAACCAAACCCCAACCGGAAACAAACCAGACCGAGGTCAGTTGTTCGAATGAACCGTTGTTTTTACATTAAATGTTTTATTTGCAATCGGCTTTTGTACATAAAGTTCAGTAATACAAAACCTGCCACGATGGTTGTCCGGTCATTTTTGCGCATGCAGGAAGGCCGCAGGCGGCACCTTGCGTAGGTCGTACTCTGCTCGTCTCCACAGGGCACGGCTCTTCCCGGTAACGGGGGCTGGACAGGAACTCGGCCACGTTTAAGGGGTCTCCAGCAACCGCCACGTTTTCAGCGGGATCGTAGCAACTTCGTGCTCCTCCCCTGGGGTAGAACTGCGCCAGGGCTGTAGGTTGTGTGACTGTTCAGGACTGTAAGTGACACGTATCACGTCTGAGGTGTCGGTTACGCACGCGACCTGTGCTTTTCTCAGGTGTCAGCGGTATGTTTCAAACAGATCTTACAAGATGCTGAGTTTATTTGTTTAAAACGGTGTTGGTTTAAAACAGTGCTTCTGGGCCGGTAGAGGACGGATAGGCCAGAGCGCAAGTGAGGGAGCCCACTGCTTGGCCGCGTCGTGGCTGTGGGAGAGCAGGCACAGAGAAACCTCTCTCTGTGTTAAAAATGAGTCGAAGCGGGGGCTGCCAGCTGTGTCCCGACTACACCTTCGGACAGCGCTTGGCCGGGCTCCTTCCCTCTGACACTGGAAAAGGTCTCCTCATCCAGCCTCTGGTACGTCCATGGCAGATTCCTACGTTGTTTTGTGATCATCTTAACAGGTCTGTGAACTCAGCGTGTGACTTGAGGGTGCAGTTGGTGAGTCTTTAATAGTCCAAAACACTCATTTAGGTCGTTAACCTTCAGCGTGTCTTGAATGCAGCCCTTCGGTTTTTTGGGGCTGAGGTGAAGTTTCACTGCCTGGGATGAAGTGGTTGCAGATCGTTTGAACTGTTCTAATTTCTTAACCAAAAGGAAACAGAAGCCCCAAACCAGCACGTTGATGTTACCTTTGCGACTGCAGGAGCCGTTCCCTGAGGGCAGTTCTGACAGCGTTGTCCCAAG